AGTTATAAAGCATTTGAATGTAAACCACATGACCATGGGGATACTGCAATGGCCGGAAGTGTGAAAAATGGTCATAAATCACTTTTTTTCAGTGCCATTGTAACTGAACTGAACAGCTTTGCTGGCTGAGGAATTCTGGGAGTTGAAGTCCACAAGTCTTAAAGTTGCCATGGTTGGAGACCCCTGGTCCAAAGGGTCGCAGGTGGGGCGAAGCCTAGAGAAGGCGGCATTACGCACTCATTCACACTCAAACACACATGTGCAGACCGAGTCCCTGCCTTCAATCGCCCTCACCTGAGCGGTCGCAGACCACCTACCCATGATGAGCCACTTCCCGCCCAGCGCTCTCGGACCGCCTCCTGGTGCTCTTCTCCACACCCACCTCTGCTGTGATTGGCTGCTTTGGAAACTCGTCCCTCGGATTGGCTGAGCGGCCTCTCCCACCCACTCCCTCCGAAGGGCGGGGACACTTTAAAAAGGCAGCGGGCTGCTCAGGCTGAGGTAAAAATGTGAGCGTGTTGCAGAAGTGGTTGCTTCTCTTGTTTCTCGAAAGAGAAGATGCTGCGGATGTGGGAGAGCTTAATAAGAAATAATAAATAATCTCTCCCGATTGCGGGTCTGCAGCCAAAGACGTTGTGCCTTTGCGCTCTGAAGTAATTCTAGCTGAGGCTCTTAGACATTGTGGGATACTGAGGGGAGCTAATTAATAGCCTATTCTCAGCGAGTAAAGATAGTACCTGTGGTAATTTTAACCATGGCGTATATTCTTGGGAGTAAAATGCCAGTGGGTGGCTGAGGTAATATCTGAAAGGTGTCTAATTTAAAGGGCTCCAATACCACAGCTTCACCTATGGTGAGTTACCTCAGTCCCACGAAGTGGTTTCCCTCAGGGAATAAGGCAAACTTCTGGCTCCTGAATACCTTTAGCCAAGGGTCAAGTTTTTAGGAGTAAAATATTGGTGGAAGCTGAGGTAATCTCAGCCATGTCCTGTTAAAAAAAAGGACCAAACCACCACAGGTGATTTAGAAATAGCTTTTAGGAGAACGAAGCTGAAGCAATTTTAGCCAGGTGGGCTAAACTACAGCAGGTGAATACCGTAAGTTAAAATTGGCTTAAATGCAAAATTGTTTCAGTCTCTAGTTGACCTTACTTTTTTGAATAAAGTCAACTCTTTGGGATCAGAAGAAATTTTAGCCAAGGTTCAACTTCTTAAACAAAACATGTAGAGGACCAACTGTTTCAAGTAACTAAAGGCAAAAGTTAACTAAAATTACTTCACGTCCAGGAGTTGATCTTATTTTCTTGAAATAAAGTCAAATCTTGAGGTACTTTTAGCCAAAATTTAAGTTCTTAGAGGTAATCTCAGCCATGTCCTATTGAAAGGACCAAACCACCACAGGAAAGTCAGAATAATAAAAAAAAAGATTTAAAGGTAAATTTACCTCAGGAGCTGACCTTGCTTTTAGGAATAAAGTGAATTCTTGGGACCTGAGATAATTTTATTCAAAGCTCAAGTCCTTGAATTCCTTGGTCAAATAAAGTATTAGCCAAATGAAACATTCTATTCTAAAGAAGCAAAGCACATAGAGGACTAGCAACTTCAAGTAAAGGCAAAAGTTAACTAAAACTAGTTCAGGTCCAGGAGTTTACCTTGTTTTCAGAAATAAAGGCAATTCTTGGGACCTGGGATAATTCTAGCCAAAGCTCAATTCTTAAAGTAAAATATTGGCTGATATAATCTCAGCCATGTCCTGTTAAAAGGACCAAACCACCCAAACTCATCAGATTTAAAAATAGTTTTAAAGGAAAAATGGCCTCAGAAGCTGACCATGGCCCGAAATAAAATGAATTCTTGGGGCCTGAAGTAATTTTAGGTTCAAGTTCTTTGAAAAAAAAAAAAGTCCTTGTGTCTAAAATCACACTTGCCCAATAAAGCCTATACTCTACTTTCCCCTCCCCTAATCCAATTCAATTTAATCTACAGTAAACTAAAAAAAAAAAAAGCAAAAGATGTAGAACTAGCACTAGCTACTTGAGCCTAAGGCAAAAGTTAACTAAAATTACTTCAAGTCCAGGAGCTGGCTTTGCTCACAGGTATAAAGCCAATTCTTGGGACCTGAGGTAATTCTAGCCAAAGCTCAAGTCCTTAAAAGAAACAAAACATGTAGAGCAGGGGTGTCCAACCTTGGCAACTTTAAGACTTGTGGACTTCAACTCCCAGAATTCCTCAG